GCTGTTTGCTTCTGCTGCTGCTATGGGGAAAACGTGAAGTTTGTAAGTGGGAACCAGTCCCTGCAGTAAAAATCCACATTAAAATGCAGAGGGAGGGAGACAACCCATGGGCTGTGTTAGGGCCCATGGCAGTCAGTGTGTGCGTACAGACCTTGTGTGGTCATTGGTATTCTCATCAGGATGTACCTCTGCTTTTATTTAAAAATTGTTATGTATTTACACCCAGTTCAGCCGAATTGCTGCTGTGACAGAAAGTGCTTTTCTGCCTTTTTTTTTTTTTTTAGACAACTATTTTACATTTTCCATCTTACTGTCTGGCTTTGTAACTACTTACTGCGTTTCTGTTTTCCATTTGTTTACACCTTGCTCCTGCCAAGCTTTTCTTTAATATAAGATTTCAAAGCAATTTTTCCTTTGTATATATAGATTTGCAGCTTCTTGAACACAGTACAGTCAAAATCAGTCAAACCCCTTTTTACTCCCCTGCAATTAGCTTGGTGAAAGAAAAGGGGGGAAAGAACAGCTCCAATGTCTGTCTTTATTTATTTATCTATCTATTTATTTATTTATTTACCACATTCGGAGGAAAAAACGTTCCTTTTTGTTTTATTAATGATGTGCTTATGAAATGGAGCGTTTGATGGTATGCACTTGGAGCAGGCAGAAGGCGAGCTTCCCCACGTTGCGCTGGCAGTGTGCTTCCTTTCTGATCTGCACCACGCTAGTTTATTCCAGATGTGGGCTCGCTCCGAAGAGAGGCTGCCTGATGCACAATGGCTTCATGGTGGAGAAGGATGGCCTGCGGGGACCCACTTGAAGCTGCCAGCTGTATTCTCTGTTCTCACTTGCGGTCTGTTACATAAGATGGCCCATTTTTTTTTCCCCGCTTGCGATTAATCCAAGTAGAATATTCATACTGTCTTAAAAAAAAAAACAAAACCAACCAACGTTTTAATTATTTGTAGATCAGGCACTTTGAAGTTGATCAGCCTCAAGTGGAAAAATCTGGTCCAAAGGGCTACCTGCATGGACAAGCCAAGTTAGGAGGAAAGTTGAATCACCTAAGGGTGATGTAACTGCAGAGAACAAAAATCAGCCATTAGCCCAACTGCAGCCTGACCTGGCCATTTGTGTTTCTGCTTGCTATGTGAGGGAAGTTAAAAAATGTAGGTCTGGAAGGGACTTCAAGAGATGACATAGTCTCATTTCTTCCTCTGAGACCATCTTTGACAAATGTTGGTCCATTGCATCCATGAAACCCTTCTATTGAGAGGAACCCACAGCCCCTCTGCATAGGCAAGTCTGCTGCTTCTCCTCTGGCTTAAAAAGCAAAGTCCTTGGGTTGGATCTGAGGGTTAATGTTTGCTCCCAGGAGATGGGGAACAAATCTCTAAAGGGAAATTTTGGCTTCTTATTCATTTGACACTCTCAAAGCAAGCATGGGTGTCTTTCTGATTGCCTGTCTTGGCTGAATCTCAAGTGAATTCAATTTTCTGGATTGTCATATACAGGTATTCAGCCCATATTATCTAGTGAGCCCTTTCCACTTGGGTTCTCAAGAGTTATCTTTATTATTGTGATCTGCCTTTAGTTAAGGGGTATAGGTTGGTCTCCTTCTTCCTAAGAGTAACCTGAGTATTGCCTCATCCCTGGCTGCAACAGATGCTGGAAGCGCCTCTCTCTCTGTCCTTGCTAAGGATGTCTGGAGTTGGAGATACCTGGCTGGACTGGCATCAGCACATCTCTGTGCTTTAGGCTTGAAATGTTTTTGCACTGAGAGCTGTGTGTGCACATGTGAAGACTTATTGTGTCACTTGTGAACAAAACTGGGGGAATTATTCTAAGTCATTATAAATGAAGCTATGAGAATTAATTCTGAGAGGGTGGAAAAGTTCAGATGTTAATAGGAATACGAAACTGGCAGTGGTCAAGCAGCAACCAGAATTGTGCAGCTCATCAGAGGAGACTGGTAAGCAGTTAAACTCATCCTCCTCTGGGCAGGAATTATGCAGGCTCCGAGGACAGTGACATCAGACCTGCAAACTGCCAAATCTAACTGCACTTGGAGTTTCCCTTGGGTATTGTAAGTCGTGAGCTTCTAGTCTCTTTGTTTATGAAGAAAAGCTTGAAAATATGAGCCTTTAAAAATTTCAAAATTAAAGACATGCATCACTCTGCTTTTTTTATGTATTTTTTCGTTCCTTTTTTATTAACATTTAGGCTTTGTGTTGTTGAACCTGGGAACCTCCAGTAACTCAAGAAAATTGGTTTTAAGTAAGATTTAAAAGCATTTACAAATCCTTGAAATTGGCACAGAGCTTTACTATTAAGGCTTTCCTACAGTGGAGTCATGTAAGATGAACATTTGAAACAGCAGCATTTTGTAGCTGGCTGTGAAGTATACTGTGCTGCTCTCTGCAAAGGAGATAGCAGCTTCCTAGGGAGAAGAAGGGGTTTCTGCTTTCTCCCAGAGGTCTCAAGCAAAGGCTGGCATTCTACTTTTTGATACTTAGCTTTCAATATCTTGCAGTGACGCAGCTCAGAGGTACATGCGTACTGGTGGGGGGCCTTTGCTTTGTAGGACATGGTTAAATGTAAAGCTATGAATGTTTTATGAAGTAGAGGGAAGGAACAGTGAAGGGATCTGATTTCCAGTCAAAGCCGAATTGTTTATCCCAGTGAAATGCATGCAGCTGACTGGTGGAGACTCAAGGGACAGCCTTTTCTTGCGACCATGTCGTTTGAAAACGAGTGAAAGAAATACATGTTTGGGTGTGTGCCAGATGGTTTTCTTGTCTTAATTGTGGCTGCATTCTGCCATCCACATTCGGACAAGTAATGCTTTACTTTGCAAGTGCTTTTGATTCCAGTGGGAGTTCAAGGGGAATAAGATGGTGTTTGCATCAAGAGCAGCAGTCTTGCCATGTGCTGCTATTAAGTGCTTTGCTATGTAAACGAATATTTGAGAGTGGGTCAGTTAAGAATAAATTTTGGATATTTTTTTTTTTAATATAGGATAGTGAGGAGTGCTGGGGAATGCAAACCAGGCACTGCACATCATGGGCCTTTGCATAACTTGCATTCCAGAAAGCTTTTGCAAATCATTAAACACAATTTTATGACTCCATTGTTAAACTTTATTGGAGGGTCTGCTTCCAAACTGGATTCGACAATGGGACACTCAGAGTGGCATCTTGTGGGGAGAGTAGATAGTCATCATTACAGCCTGGCTGGGCTGGGGAGGCAGAGAGATTGTGTTTCTCTGTTACACTGTTTCATTATGGGTGCAAGGTACTTTATAGCAATAAAACCTCTCCGGAGTATTTTCATGCTGTAGCTCAGTTTTCGTTTTTAAGTATATAAATATAGTTGACTCTTGCCCCCGCATTTAACACGGCATCTCTTGTATCAATCTGATTTATCTTAAAGTATTCTCTGTCCTGACATGTCCTGTTTTTCAGCAGTAGACAGGGCTTTTACGGATGCACTGAGGATCCCAGTTAAACATGTTGGGATATTGCCTGCATGCATGACTTTCAAGTTAGCAGATTACCCACAGGTGTATGTGTTTTCAGCCTCAATCTTTCGGGTTACCTCTTAAGACATCTGGTTTGTTTTTCCCTGGTTCTCCTACCTGTGGTCTAGGGGCTGGGTAACATTATTATTTTTCACCTTGTTCTTGATATCATTGTAGATCCTGACCCCTTTGTTCCTGTATCTGAAAAACTGCATCTTGCTTTGCAGTTAAAAGTTTCAGCATAGGGTCCCAGTGATCAGGTAAAAACAAAAGCCTATTTTCTTCTCTTAATAAAGGCTCTGATAAAGCTAAAATCCGCAGGTTGCTGCCACAACCCTTGGGTTTGCCGATATATTTAGCAGTTCCACTTCTCAGAAACAGGCAGCAATTGTACATGCTCTTCACAGTTTGGCATGAAATTTTAATCATCTTTGCTACTTAGCTGTTTGCGTACTGCGAGAACGTTACTTGTGTGCATAACAGACCCAGTTGGAAATAGCTGACCTGGTACCCGGTGGCTACAACACATGGCCTAAAAATTGCCTCCAAATTGCGCATTTTGCTGTCTTGCAAGCTTGAAAACTTCTTAGGGTTTCTCATAATTCTGTTATCCTGGTTATTCCCTTCTCTGAGAGAGTCCTGGCAACTGTCTTGTATGTCTTGCTTGCTTGCTTGGTTTTCTCTTTCCTTTTTTGCTCTACTGATTACCTGCAACACTTATGTTTCCTTGTGCCCTGTCCTGCTGGTAGCACTCATGGGAACTAGCTTTTTCTTTTTTCTTTTGCATTTCATATTGCTCTGGAGTTTGTAAAACTCTTTTTGGATAAATGCTTCTAATAATAAAAGAAAAAATTAATAAAGGTGTTGTAAACATGGCTTATTACCTTGCTTAAACTGAAAAGTTATTCTCTGTGTGGGTAAATCTATTATGTACAGTCTGTACAACAGCTGCCCGATAAGAAATATTTGATTGGCAGCTGATAATTTGAAGCTGGCATTTTCCTTCTTGTATCTCAAATCCTGCAAACTCCTCTGAAGGGGGAAATGCTGCTGTGTGATGCCAGTCTGGTCCCTACTGCAATAGCAGCGGCACTATTGGGTATTCAAGGTCGCCCTTGAACAGCGTCTTGCTCCTCTGCAACCCTGCACAGCTCATCCTTGGGGTTTGGTGAAGGGGGTTGAGACTTCAGGAAGGATCGGGGCATTGAGAGCAGGACCTCTGCGTGTCTCAGAAAAGCTGCAAACAGCCCTGCAAAGAAACCTCTGCACACTGACCCTTCTCTGTGCTGCCTGTTCCTTTCTGCCTCCTTCGCTTGGACCACAGCTAACACAGCAAAGCACAGCAAAACCACATGTATAGCTTGAGCTATACAGATGTGTGGTGATGGGCAGCAAGGTGCTAAATAGCTCCCTCCTGTACCCTCCCAACCTTCTCTCAGTGTCCAAATCCAAATTCAAGGACTCTCTGCACGTTTTCTCTCAGCGAGAAGGTTGCCGCATATGGAAGATGCACATCCTGAAGGGGACGGACGGACTGGGAATCCAGATAACAGGAGGCAGAGGGTCAAAGCGATCCCCTCACAGCATCATTGTCACCCATGTGGAGGAAGGTGGCTCTGCACACAGGTGAGGCAATGATGATGGATGTGGGAGTGGGTGTGATGGAACATCCGTGGCTATTGCTGTTAGCCAGACTCATGAGACACGTGTGGGGTTTTGCCCTCCCATTGTGCGAGGGTGAGGATATGGCATTTTTAGCTTAAAAGCTTTTTTTTGTAATTGTTCACTGAATCTTCTTCCAGCATGTTTAGTCCAAATTACAGACTGATGAAACACTTGCTCAGTGATGGAGCGTAAATCAAGGAGCCTCATGGCTTGTGGGGCTTTTTCACCAAGTCCGTTTTTGGAAGATGGGCCTTTCCCATGGGATTGGCAGTGGATGAGCATGGGTTGTGCAACCTAGGCTGCTAACTGCCAGCCCTGACCCTATTCCCTGATGGGGCAGAGAGTTCAGGGTTCACTTCTCCCTGACTCTCTGTGAAGGTTTGAGGGGTCTCAGCCCTGCAAAGAGGGTGAAATGGCTCTTCTTATAACAATAATTTCCTGGGGGCACCTTTTTGAGCTACTTTTTGGGGGCAAACCCCACTGTGCTGATTGATGCAAGCTTAGCATCAGCCAGATTGCTTTGTCCATGCCTCTATGTCCCACTGCGTGTCACTGTAGCCTGGCCCTGGGAAAGGACTGCCTGCAGCTCCATGTTCCTCCTTTGTTTTGCAGGGATGGCAGGCTGACAGCAGGTGATGAGCTCCTCATGATCAATGGGCAATCACTGGTTGGGCTTTCCCACCAGGATGCTGTGGCTCTCCTTCGCTCAGCTGCTGGCCTGGTGCAGCTGGTGGTTGCTAGCAAGGTACAGTCCTCTCCTTGGTGGTCTCCTGAATGTATGTCCATAAGGGTTTGTGAAGTGCTGCGTGGAAAGGGCATATTTTTGATGGGGAATCGCATGTGCACACTTGCTCCCCTAAATTTAACACACAGCTATGGGAAACAGATCAGTAGCTGCCATAAATCTGTGGCAAATCAGCAGCATATAGATCAATTTAATGATTTGCATGTATTGTCACTGTCATTCAGTGTGCAAATGAGTCTGTATTTATTCATGCAGACATTACTTAAGTTTTGGCCAAAGCCATTTTCTTAAAATACATGCTAAATAAAGCAGGCTGTTCTCAGCCTCTCCTGCTTCCTGCCTGCGTAGCCTTCATAGCTCTCAACTCGTGTCCTATCTGTGTGCCTGAGGTCTCTCAGTGATGATCTCTTGGCTCGAGTTCCTTATTTTGTCCTTGGTAATAGCTTGGAGTGGAGCTCTTGAAGATAAAAGAGTGTGAAATTTCAGGGAAATGAGAGTGGAACTCATTTATCAGTTGGGCTCTTCATTCTGCTTTCATTGCAGGAGAGGTTGAGAGGATATTACACAATATTTTTCCTTCGTTTAAGAAAATCCTGCCTGCCCCTGTTTGCTCCCTTTCCTGGACCACAGCCTGCTGTAGCCTTGCTTGGGTTGGTGTAGGTGTTTGGTGGGTGGCCAACCAGCTCCCAAAAGTGCCCGAGGTCTCAAAGAAGGACCTGCCTGCAGGTGGGGACCTTCAGGGCCTTTGGGATGGTAGCAGGAGCATCTTGGGGCAAAGGGACTGCGCATAAACCTGCATTTCCAGGTGGAGGATGAAGTTTCAGCAAGTCACTGTGTCAGTGTGTTTTAATTTTTTCTTGGGTTAATTTTTACATTGCCCCAGCCAACCCAATGCAGGTTTCTGCAGGTTTAATGCCTGGGTTTTGGCTACCCAGCATGCTTTATGCACATGTTTTTGGAGAAGAGGCTCTATCTCACCATATTCAAAGTGAAGAGCCTATAAATTCTCTTAACCTTTCACTTAGACAGTGAAGTTCATTGAAGACCTGTAGGATCACAGCCTGGTATTAACCCCACTGGTGTTTATTCTGGAATCAGCACACTTTGACCTGAAGTAGGTATATTTTCTATTTCATTTAGACAGTTGGACTCTTTGCCAGAACGCAAGGCAGTAGACTGCATAAATTTCTCCTTAAAGTTATTTGCTTGTTCATGTGATGATTGCATCAAAAAAATAATCATCGTGAATAAGTGAACAGCTTAAAACTTCACGTTCCTGATCAGGCTGTGAATCTGTTTGGCCTGTGCTCTGTGCACTTGGACAGCATTCCTGTCCCTGGGAGGAGGACTTGGAAAGGCAAGCAGTGAGGAATCCAGCCTTTGCCATGTTTCAGGCAGTCTCAGAAAAGGTGTAAATAGGTGAAGTGTTCCACAGCAGCTCCCTCTGGGCATTATTTGTTGGTATGGGAAAGCATCCTTGCAGCTTGGCCTGGTGCACACTCCTGAACGCAGGCTTTGTGCTGAAAGCAATAAAATGAGAGTCTGTCTGGCCACTGCTTTCAGTTGATGCACGTGTTTGTCTCCTGGAAAAGGTGCCAAAGACTGGAAACAGAGCCTGAAGTATCAGAACTTGAGTTGATAGAAGATCGGTTAGGTCAACTTTCATTTTGTTCTCCTAAGTAGGGTTGTCTGTCTATTATTCTTAAGCATGTAGATAGATAAACATGTGGAGGGAACATCTGCAGGAAGGGAGCAGGAGTGCAAAGTGTGATTTGGGATGTAATGAAATGAGTAATGAGGTCTGTAAACTCTGAGTCTGCTTGCAGTGACATTTAATAAACCTGAAGTGGGGAGGAGCAGGCTGCTGGAGAAGCATGTATTTTAAATTCTCCTGTATGAAATCTAAATGTTTTAGGTGTGTATTTGCCTGTGTTTACTATATGTGCGCTTTGAAACTGGGTCTGCTTTTTATTAAGTGGACCAATAAAGTTTGAGCACATGTAATGAGGGGGGGATTACGAGGGAGGTCTCTTGGGCAGATGAAATGGAGCAGTTTCACCATGGTTTTGGTGGTTTTCTGCATGTGATGTAACGTATTTTGTTGTCTCTTGGGTAGGAATCTTCTGAAGGGGATTTTCTGAAGTACCCATCTACCAGTTTGCCAGACTTGCTTAGCACTTGCTCAGTCCAAGACTCTGTCTCTTGCACTGACAATAAGGAAAACGAAGAGCCAGAAGAAGAAGATATGAAAGGAGTGAATGTGTCTCCTGAAAAACCGGTTGCTGTAAGTGTGGCTTTGGTGTGACGTTTTTAGTGTCTCCCTTGATGCCCTTTTGCATCTGTCACATTCTTCTACAGCCTGACACAAAGCAGGTCCTTGAGACAGGGCAATCCCACCCAGCCCTTCTCTTCACGGGATGTGGTGACAAGCTGAAATGGGGATGGCATCTACCGCAGCATCTGCCACCTCTGCTACTGCGCTGCAGCAAAGCACCAGCACAGGGAGCAGAAGCTCTCATGTTCTCCAAGCTTTGTGGCAACCGTGGTTTTGTTTTTCTCTCTGCTGCTGGATTGTTTTCCACCACTTCACTGCTTTTGTTGGATCTGATGCAAAGTCTCTCACAGTGCTTACGTAGTAACACGCTCTGCTTTCCCCTCCTTTTGTAACTGAACTTCTTTAACAGTTTATGATCCAAGTCTTCAAGTTTTATTTGCTCTGTTGAAGCCAACAGACACTTTTAGGGGAGAGATATGAATTTCTGGCTGTGAACTGCAACTGAAGTTCTGCTGAATAAATACTGCCAGTTGATAATCTCACTTGCATTCCCTTCAGGGCTGCATTAAGCAGAGATTAAGTGGATCATTGTTATTTATTTGTAATGTAGCAGCTCTCTGAAACTTCATTGTTGTTCTGGGCCTCTGTTGTATTGTACAGACAAAGAATAAAACTATGTTTGCTACTCTGAAGAGCTTGAAGGCTGGTTTTCTAGCAAGGGAAAGCAGGTGGATTCACTTGAAGCTGTTAACTTCTTTTTTATTTTCTGTCCTTGTCTTTTTTGTCCCTCTTTTCTGCAGCAATTATAATAAATCTCTCAAATCTTTCGATGGCTCTGATGTGATACTGGTTTGGTGACTTGTTTTAATTTTGTACTCATACCTTCCCATTTCTGGGCAAAAATACATCTTCCCAGGACAAGTCTCACACTATAGTCTAACTGATGCTGGTGCTCAATTCATACCTGCATGTTACCTCTTGCTTCCTTTGAGTCTATGCTTATAATAGTCCTCATGCTCACACAATTCTTTACTGCGACAAGTTTTGGTATTTCTGCACTGTCTTCTCTTCTATGTGCCAGAATGCCTTTTGGGGTGAAGGAAGGGAAAAACAAATAAATCAGGGATGCTTTGCGTGCTCATGATGGTGTAGTGTTTGTGTGCTAACTTGAGCAGGCATTCTTTTGGCTATCAAAATACTTTAAATTCCTCTATATATCATGTTTCAAATTCTGGTGATTTTTCACAAGGCTATGGCTCAGCAACGCTTAAACATAAAAATCAATTTTGTCAAAACTTAAATTATGTGTGGCTTCAGGATGCAGCTCCTGACATTCCAGTGACTCTCTTGGCACATGCTAGGAGTTATTTGTCGTGTGGTTTGCTCCTGACTTTCCGGCAAGGCTCTGCCTAGTTTTCAGCGATGGCTTTGTTATTGGGTGTTTCTGTTCCAGATTGACATAATGCTAGGGCAAGCTTGAGGTAGCTAAAATGCTTGCCACCATGGAGACCCAGCCACAGGAGCCTGCCCAGAGCCCTTCAGCATGTATGTGAGTTTGGAGCCTGCCCCCATGTCTGTCACAGTGCCACTCCAGCTGGCAATGGTGGTAGCCCAGTTCTGAGCCAGTTTGAGTTGCCTGCCTATCTGGCACTCTAACCCCTAATGGCAGTAGCTCTGCTTTTCGTAATGCATCACTGGGGATGGAGGGGAAATTACAGAAATCTGGGTGCAATAAACACATTAGAAGGATAGAAGCAAGATTTATTTTTCTTCTTTGTTTCTATTAATTCTTTTTTGTTGGCAGGGATGTAATTAGTTATTAGTGACTCTCGGAACATCATTTTTTTTTTTTTGACTTGAGCTGCACATGAAATCCTTTGTCTTCTAATCCAAAGTACAGGATGCCTTTGCATTCCCCTTGTAATTGCTGTCTCAGACTTGGGAGTGCAAACAGCCTATGGTAGGTAGTCTGTACAGTGCAGGCCCCTCGACTCTACCCACAGCCTGATGTATCCTTATCACATCACAGCAGCCTGAGCTGAGCTGGGTTGAGCAAATCCTGCATGCCACCAGGCAGGACGTAGGAAGGTAAATGTATGGAAAAGATAAAATTCACACATGTCTTCTTTTTCCACCTGACAAGATAGGAAGAATTTTTCATAGCAAAGCTTAGAAGCTGATTTCAAGGTCAGGATGAACATGGTGTATCACCTGATTTTATTTTACACACATGTATATATATATAGTCATACAGATTATTTCAAAATTGCTGTGAAAATTACTGTTCTTTGCTCTTCCCACTCTCTTGATGATACATCTTTTCTTTCATATATATTCCATTATACTTGTACTATGGATAAGGATGACGATGTGACTGATGATTAAAGCAGGAACTAAGACGGACCATTTTAAATCAGTTAATTGGTTTAGTTTAGGTGGGTGAGTGGTACTGAAGGTCTGTACCAGGTAACTGGGACTGTGGTCTCAGTTTAAGCATCAGACTTCTTAGATTTGAAACCAATTCTCAACCCAGCTCTGATGAGGAGTTACCTTTCTCACCACCAGTTTCTCACCTCTGACGAGAGGTTAATTAATTTTCTTGTTTACTGTGCAGGGCTTTGTAGAGACTCAAAGGGATGCTGTCAGGTTCTGGGTGCTTAGGTAACAAGAAGTAACTCAGAGTGATTTATTATTAGCTGAGGTTTCACTGTCCCTTTTCTGACCAGCACAGTGCTTCTCTAATTCTGCACTAATACTATCTTCTGATAGTACAAAATTTACAGGAGCTCTTAGGGTTGCTATTCGCTGTGAATATAATTCAGTGCTGAGTATTCAGAACCATAATATGACTTGCTGTTAATGCCTTAGTACCTCATTGCTTAAAGGCTGAACGAGGCAGGAAAAAATAATCAATTGGAATTGAGGTATACGTGCAAATTTTTATCCTAGGAGTTATGTAGAACTTCTCTGGATCAGGCCCTGAGGAACCTAATTTCAGTTGTCTCTGCTTTGGGATAGGGCCTGGACCAGGGATCCCAAAAGGTTCCTTCCCACGTGGCTTGCACTGCAATCTCATTTTTAGGGGCTAAAGTTTTCTCTGTGAGCAAGTTCTTTAAAACTCTGAAGTTCTGGTCCAGTGTTTCCAGGCAGGGAAACATAATCTGAGCTGGTCAGCTTCCCCAGGACACAGCAGAAGGGTTTAGTGACACTTGAAAACTAATTTAAGAGAAATAATCACTTTTAAGTCTTACTTGAAAGTCCACTTGTTGTGTTCCCTTAATAAAAGTTTCATAATACAGTGTAATTGGAGCTCTGTTGTTACACAGTCTCCTTATGTAAAGCCCTGTTTAACAGGAAACATCCCTTAAAGTTCTAACTTCAATAAAACTTGTGCTGCCAGGCAGAAAAATGATTCCATTAATATCATTGAAGTACATTTCTTTTAGAGCTAGTTTAGCCAAAATGTGTCTTAGCTTCAGATACGAAATACCAGGCCACAGAGTTGTGTTATACTAAATTCTCCTGAGGCACTTGGGGGATTTTAAACCCTTCCTCCCCACACCCCGCAGTCCATATTTTGCCTTGAGCTGTTGACGCTGGTATTTTAAAATGTCATTATTTATGTCTGAGTGAAATAGGATGATACGATACTATTTGCCTTTAATTTATTTTTAATTCTAATTCACTTTTCCTAGTATTTCTGTTGCCTGAAATTGAATCTGTCACTTTATTGCTGGCTTGCGGAGCATCCTGGGAAATGAACTCTAAGGAGAAAGCAGGTCTGCCAAGAATTTGCCAAGTGTCTGATGAATTTAGGGCATTTTGGGTCCCCAGACAGAGGCATGTGCCATTCTTAATTGCGTCAAAAGTGTTTCGCCTTTGTTTCTGGTAGTGCTGTTGTTCAATATATGATGATCTGAGTACTTTATTTTTTAGGTGTTCAACTTAAGTGACCAGCTTCATATTAATGGCTTGAAATTGCAAAAAGCTACTGAATACAAGAAGAGGGTGTCTGCGTCAGGAGGTTTAGATCTGTAGCTGCTGGAGGCAAGGAGGGAAGGCTGTGAAATGTTCCTCTGGACTTTACTTAATCTTGTGCTCTCCTGGGTATCTGCTGCTGGTGACTCTGGAGGCAGCACCCTGAGCTAAGTCTATGCTGTACAGAATGGAATTGTACAAGAGAGAAATTTCTTATTTGGGGAAGGAGGTCATAGTTATCCCTACCTGTTGGGGGGAAGCTGGAAAGAGAGGTGATTTGCTTCCCCATGCCCAAGCTCACCATGCAGACACAGCCTCTGGCAGCACCCCCAGCTGTATGACCCTCTGCTGTGGAGTGGCAAGCCCTTTTTGCTCATGTTTAATCATGTTGCATTGACCTGAAGTATTTGATGTGTACCTTCACACAAGCTGTGGGCTCTGCTGCATGCAGAGACAGCCGTGACCCAGCAAGGTCTTGATTCTAATACAAGTAATAGAAACAGGATGTCTCCAGTTAAAGATTTCTTGCATGAGTGGGGTTTCCTTATCCCTGCCAAAACCCACTTGTGTTTTTCTGCAAGACATGTAGCTGAAAATGGATAAATAAACCTGTTCTGTGAATATGAAGAGATGCATTTGTATAACTCCCCTCCCTCTCCATTTTTACTTTTTATCTGAGCTGTAGGACTGCTTAGGTATTTTCTTTCATGAGCCTCTCTGTCTTACCAGGGGATCCATGTGTAATTACCTGTAGCCATGCAAGCATAATAAGGAAGAGGATAACAATGCCATAAGTTTAAAAACAGTCTTGGGGTCAAAAGTTCTTCTGGAAACACTGGGAGAGAATTTCAGAGAAAGCATTAGCACTGAGAAGGAACAGGAAGCATAACTCAACAATTAAATGTGTGCAGAGCACGGGGAGGGGCCCTCATTAGTTGGAGGACTTAAGTGTTCATTCCCATTAGGGCACTGCAGCCTTGAAAGAGGTTGGTTGCTCCTCAGACAGCACCAAAAGGCTGGAAAAAAGGCAAGAAAGAGCTTTAGCTGGCAGAAATCTGCCTTGCAATGAAATGCTTTACTTGGTGGTGGTGGGG